GAGAGAGAGAGAGAGAGAGAGAGAGAGAGAGAGAGAGAGAGAGAGAGAGAGAGAGAGAGAGAGAGAGGGGCACCAAGCCACATGAGCTGGTCATGTGGCTTGGTGCAGCTCGTATGCAGCAGCGGGTGTCTTTGTCTGGGCAAGCCTGTGTTTGCAGTGGAAATCTGGAAACCTCAGCTCGTGGGCCTCGATTGTCTGTTAGTGAAACACTGTGAAACATTGAAAGTGGTGTGTAGTGCTCTGATAGTGATGTACCTCATGCTGGGACCGAAGCTGGGACCTCACAATTGCCCGGCTGGGAGCATTACAGTGTCGCTTATGTTGGAAAACAGAGAGCTGTCAAACCGACATGCATGTAGCGGCATCTAGAGCAAAAAGAACTCAGCTGCTTCTCTTTCTACCTAACACTATGGCAGGTGGCATTTAACTTACTTAATTTCGGCTACCGGTAGTACTGCACCTAAAACTGGCCCCCGGGACCACATGGTGTGGCATAGCAAAGCTCTGCGTGTTTATTGGTGCTCTCCTATTGACCCACTGTGGCCCTAACAGCCGAGTGCCATGGTTTAATCGGACGCTAGCTATCCTGGTGCCCTCCTATTGACTACCTTAGCCTACCCTATTTAGTCTGCCACTCCTTGTTTATTGGCGCTCTTTTAGACCCCCCTCTTTAGTCTGGCACTCCTTGTTTACTTGCGGTCTTTTGGCCCACTGCGGCCCTAACAGCTGAGTGCCATAGTTTAATTGGACACCAGCTATCCTGGTGCCCTACTATAGACTACTTTAGCCTACCCTATTTAGTCTGGCATGCCCTATGCAGAGACAAGGCTAAGGAAAAACAGCAGCCGGCGTGGCTTGGCCAAAAAAACGGACCCTACCAATGGGCCTAGCTCAGTTGGTAAACCCACGCACTGTTGAAATACAGGCCCAAGTTCAAATCCTGTCAAACCACCAGTACCTCCTAAAAGTGCTCCCGCGTTATCGGCCAGCCCAAAAGTGGAAATCGTGCCGTTTCCACTTGGCTGAATCGGGGCTACTGGACCAGGCCTGTTCATCCCAAAAGCCATGCCCGTTAACGCGGAACACTTTTTAGGAGGTACTGGTGCCAAATTTGGTCAGAGCCGAGAGGCAAATCATGAGGACGGGCCCAGAAGAAGAACTGAGTGCCCTTGTCCTGTGTGCTTGCTATCGCTAGATTCCCCTCAAACTTCTTCCCTGTGTCGCCTAATTCTAAGGTCCAGAGAGAAAGTACCAGACCTTTTGTTGAGCCAACTGCAGCCAATTGGTGGTTTTGTGGGCAGTTTTGAAGAAACCAGCGCAGCTGCGTCTGCTCCCCTTTCTGACTTGGCTTTTCTTCTCCAGTCCACCCAGATTGCCTGTTGCAGCCCATGCTTGATATGACTGTTGATTTCAATGTCTGAGAGCGGTTCCTTCTGTCAGATCAGATAACACCCAACGGTAAGCACGTCAGCATGCTTACCGCTGGGTGTTATCTGATCTTACAGAAACAGGACAAGGTTGGACAAGAAACCGCTCTCAGACATTGAAATCAAAAGTCGTATCAAGCAAGGGCTGAAACAGGTGATCTGGGTGGACCGGAGAAGAAAAGCCAAGTCCAGCTGGTTTCGTCAAACCTGGCCACAAAACCACCAATTGGTTTGGAACTTGGCAGCCCGGCACAAGCAGTCGACATGTGTGCATGCAAGCCACTCAGGTTGCTTGA